CGTAACGCCTCCCCCCACTCCCTCCCCGTGAGCCCCGCGGACAGCGGCGTCGCCAGCTGATGAACCGCCCAACACGAGAGGAGCGAGACCACAAAGGCGTAGGAAGGGCTCGCGAGCAACGCGGCGGAGTACACGCCGGTGTCGTTTAGAAACGTGCAGCTCGGGGTGCGTTCGCCTTGCGCGAAAACGCTCCGCACGTGAGGGGGGCGACGGGGTTGCAACCAACTCAAAGGGGCCGCGCCACGCGCCCCGGCGACGGCCTCGCGCCGCGCGACGAGGAGATCCGCCAGGCGAATCACATCCCGCTGCAGCCGCCCGTAGGTGTAATCCACCGTTGGCATCCCCGGCACCTCCACTGTGAGCGCCAGATTGCCAGGCGGGGCATCAAAAATCGCCTGGAGCACAATATTGTGAGGGAACAAGGACGCGTATCGAACCTTCTCCAGGAGAGGACCTCTAAATGCGCGGAACATGGGATCGTCTTCAAATAAGAACTAAAGGATTTGGTCGTGCACACAAACACATATGCGTGTATAGACCCCAATAAAAATAGTTTTAATGATGAGAATTAGTCCTTCTAACTACACAAAAATCCTTTTGAATTATTATGAAAATATATTAAGGACACGTATATAACGGTTCATTGACGCATAATCATATAGGACTCGTAGGCACTCCCTTGGAATTGTTAATTTAAATAGAAGTTACGTACAATGTGACCCCCTTTTAATATTTTTTATTTGGTGGTTTTAAGGTATCCATCTATTACCGAGTACTATCTTAATAAATTCATGAATATTAAATAGTAAAAGTAATTTACATATATATTAAAATAAGACACATAATAAAGCAGAATTGACGCGAAGGCAAAAATAAATACTATAATCACCCCTTCCAATAACTCAAGACATTTTTCCCTCGCCTTTATCATTTCCCCTATGTTTTCCTTCACTAACCGCAAGATGCATTCCGTTCATACAAACTAGAGCTTATATCTTAAACGTCCTTTTAGAGTGTTAGATAGAACACGTGTGTGAAGAAAAAAAATTGTCGTAAAGAAATAACAAAAATTGTTTTTCTCGAACAACGTTAAAGAAAACTGTCAACTTTAAGAATAGTTGACAGCTTATAGAAGACTTGAGAATGGTGTCGAGTTTATCATTTTTTTCCACATTATGTCGAAGCAATGTGTATATTCACACAGATACATATGCACATACAAAAGTATGTATTTACCGTGGGATGTGCATGCGCAGCGAAAGTTACTTTTCTTCGGACAAATAAAACCTGCTTGATATAGATTATCCATGATTTCAGATAGAACACTCCTCTTTAAAATAAAGAATGGATTTATATAAATCATAATAAAATATGAGCTAGCTTTTAAATAACACATAAAGGATATTTTCATTCAACAAAAACATCAATCGAAACATTATGATTTGCATTAAATTTGATATAAAGCCAATGAAAGGAAAAAAGAGTGTATAATCGCTTACAATTCTAACAATCTTCGCCTTCTCGTGTACTTTTTCACCTCAGACTTTCACCTCAATGGTCATACCAGAACTTCCAAGGCATGGAGTGACTGCTATGAAAGACGAAAATAATGAAGCAATGGAGTTCTTTCCTGGATCATCCTTTCCGAATGCTTCAAAAGAGTTTGGTAATTAGCTCTTCCATCGAGCATAGAGAGACAAACAAAAAATGTATAACCCCGTGTAATAGTCGTTTTTTATCTAACCATCTCCCCTATGTAGAATTAAGGGAACAATAAATTAAGGACAACACTGTTGAGCGTCAGAACTGAAGCTATAATTACAAACACTACACCCTCCTGGAGAAGATACCCGTCGAATTTCGTGTAACCACCGCCGCTTTCAAAGGGTATTCCAGAGTAGTCCTCAATCCGTTTTCCTTCGCCTGCGTCTTTGCAGAACGTTGTGTGAAGTGCGCTGATGGAAAATCCCCATGAGATGCAAAGACAAACTGAAGCAATACCTGCAAGAATGCAGGATACAACACGCACCTTGGGTGCTAGGACTGCGAAAACAGCCAATAGGGAGGCCGCAAAGAGAGCTGTACTGCCGGTGAACAAGAATGTGATGTCAGCCTGCATGCTTTCTTCATAGGAAGGGCAGTTGTATTTGGATTGGTCGTAGTACACACGAGAACCATTTTGCAGAAGCACATCCGTATGCCAGTAGGCCACCTTCACCGCTTTCACGCGGGGACCGTTGAATTCGCGACTCCATACCGTCGAAACACTTCCCACACTTACCAGTAGTAGAGAAGAAAGCAAGACAGCAAGGAATAAGATATCCATTCCGCGAACACACTTTAGGGCGGGGGCAATATTCCAGCCAGTGATCGCGACGAGGGAAATCAACCCCATAAACGTGCAAAATGAGGCGTAGAGGGTGAGAAGGAACCCGGCATCTAAGTTCGCGATGCGATTAAGCACAGGTCTATCGCAGCGGGTTGAGTGAAAGAGATCGAGAGAAAGTATCGCCGACGTGAAGGCTCCGAGGCACGTTATGCTAGCAAAGAGGATGGTCCACCCGTAGTGCCCATACCCACACAGGCGGAGGCTCGCAGTGATTATCGAGATCAGGGAAAAAGCGCACGCCGTGATAGTGGCGAAGGCGATTATCCGGAAAAACTGCTTTTCCACTAGGCAACTGGAGGTGAGATCGTCATTGCGGAAGTTCGCTATCCCGCTCCCTTTCACACCCCATATAGTATAGCGACAATTCTGATAGCTGACTCCATCAACGGCGAGGACCTTGCTACGGTACTACGGAATAGGGTAGGAGGAGGTCAACAAAAAAACAAAGGAAAAAAAGGCAAGCAGTATGTATAATAGCAGCGCCTTCCGCAGCGAACCTGTTGGCTTTGGCTTAGCAAAGGAGTCTATGTTCTCAAGGATATAGTGATTCCATTTCGGTTCAATGGAGCTGTTCTTCGAAATAAGTTCTTGCATTTCGACTTTCTCACATGCTGAGTATCGAGAAGCATCGGAAGGGTTATTCTTTTCAGTAATAAAAACAAGCAGTTCGGAATCCTTTTCCTTATCAGTACCCTAATCAAAGGGCTCAGGGGACGCTTTCGGCTCTGGGATACATAAAACAGTATTAGAGGCCTGATTGTAACCTGATTCCGGTTGTGGTTGTAAAGAATCTCTTTCGGTCTCGTTCATGGAACCGTTCGTATGACGAATGCAAAATATGAAAGTCAATTAATTTAACCAGATTATAAGTTAAAATTATTATTCTGTGTTTCTTCCTCGACACAAATGCGAAAACTAAGAGAATCCAGCTACAAAATAAATGCGAAAATGGAGTATATATTGCACTATTTGTTACATAAGTTTATTTTGACATATGACTTTCGGCATGTGCAGTATTTCCATCGAAGTAAGCCATAGGGAAATTAGAATGAAATGTAATATTAATATACACTGATAGTAGTACTAATTTGGTATTTCAATCCACTCACGAGAGAAGCACACACACAGATCAATGACAATGATCCAACATGATACTCAGGGAGATATCGAACAAATAAATGTGATGAGATGCACAAAGATCCGACCGCAGAATCAAAAGGATCCTCGCATGTTAGACGGCCCACGCATGTAAAAATGTGCCAAGCGCTTGGGTTAATATTATAACCTAATTTTCGAGCTCTTAAGAAGCGTCTCCCCCTTCCAGTGGTTGTAGTTTTTTTTTTTCATAGTTCATCTTTGCTCTTTTCATTGTTAACGTACTATATATTGGATACTCCTACTATTGAGTCATATTTTGACGACATAACGACAGAGAAAAATAAAACAGTAAAAAGGGAGAAGAAAAGAATGAAAAAGTTAAAAATGCGGCTTGAAGTATCGAATATTCAGAGAGGATAATATAATAAAAAAAACCGTATCGTACCCACCTTGATTGTTGAATCGCGCTTACATATAGAGTATGAACATAAAATCTTTCCTTCTCTATTTTCCTTTGGCTTTTCATTGCCTTTTAGAGTGTTCAGTTCGCGAAAATACACCCATTACGCGACGGGGTTTTATTTTTCCCACTATTTGCTAAATACATCTATTCAACTCTATCTAAGAACCCTCTCCCATTTCAATGGCAAGGGTTGTCTAATGTATGCATATACATGTATATATATATATATATATATGTATATAATACCATCTCATCATTATGTCTAGTGCAGTCTGACCCTTTCAAAACAAATAAGAGCGTAAAACAACACACATGACACGCACCCTTCAAGCACCTTTCCCATCTATTATTATTTTTTTGCTCAAAGCTTATCAATGACCAAATCTTGAACGTTCCATAAGAAAATGGCCCCTTCGTCCCCTACTGACACAATCCTCTTTCCGTCCGGCGAAACTACAACCTTTGTGATGCTGCAGCTATGCGCAACACCCACGGCAATGCAGTCTCCCCGCTCGTAGTTCCACACCTTCAAAATTCGATCATTACCACCCGTAGCAAAAAAATCACCATTGGGTGACATGGAAAGCGTATTTAGCTCGCCCGTCTTGCTCCCGCTAAGTTCCCGGATTGCGTTGCAGTCAACCGAATCCCAGTATGTGATGCTTTTATCATTCCCACACGTGATAATCTGGCTCTCGTCTGGGTAGTACGCGACCGCGCGGAAGTAGGTCTGTAGATAGATAATATTACGCCGCACAAATCGTGTAAGGTCCCAGACGATGCAACTGCCGTCATCGCTTGCAGAGACGCACTCGGTATCGTCATGCGTTATCGCAAGTGCGTTAACGGTGCTTTTATGTTCCTTCATCGACGCTTTTAGGAAGCATGACTTGCCGGTGATGCGCCAAACGCGCACCTGCCCATCCGAACCACCGGTGATAACGTTCGTCGAAGTGTGGTCATTACACACAGACGTGACCCCGACGCGGCCGCCGATCTTCACGCGCTGCCCCAACGACTCCGACTTATGCGCGTCGTGCATAGTGAAAATGAGCTTGCCACTCTGCGGCCCAAAACCCCGAAGCCGCCCATCACTCCATCCCGAGATAATCATAGAACCATCCGCGGTGAAGTGGATACAATTGCATGTGAGGCCAGGGATTTCGATGCGTAGGAGCTCGGTACACGACTTAGCATTCCACAACCGGATATCCGACCCGCCGCAGGTCGCGAAGACCAAGCTAAATCCCGCGGGAAAGACCAAGTCGTTGATACACCCACTGTGGCACGTCACCCGAAGTTCCGTGCGGAAGTTCCCCCCGTTGATGAAGTACATATTGCTTGCATCGGTTCCCACAAAGTAGTGCGGCCCGACTAGCGCGAGGCCCGTCACTCCACCCTTCACGGACGCCTCGAACAGCACCGTCAGGTTGATCTTCGAAAGAAGCCGGACCTCCCCAGAGCCACTGCCCACCAACACGTGACCATCGCGATTAAAGATGAGGGACACGATACCACCGGAGCATTTATTCAAGGGGCCTTTCATCTTCAGCACCCCGGCATTGCCGAGCTGTACACACAAGACATCCCCCGTCGTGGTACCGCAGTAGGCGTACTTATCTGTCTGCTCAATCGCGAGCGTGGTAACGGACCGTCGAAGATTCCCGAGGTTGATATCCACCGGGTTCATCTTCCGATTCTCCATATCCACCGACCACACCCGCAGCGACCCCACCCCACCCGTCATGATCTTCAGCAAGTCGTGGTTCAGAAAGGCGACGCATTTCGTCTCGGTGTGGTGGGCGGGGGCCCCACAGAAGGGACGGCCCGTCTCCACATCCCACAGCACCACCGTGTTATCCTCCGGGCCCCCCACTGAAGCCAGGGTGCGCTCATCCGAGGAGAAGGAAAGGGCCTGGACCTTCACCTTATGGAGCAGCATACGATGCACCAGCCGACGCTCCGCGAAGTCGAAGATGCAGACGTCGGCCTGAAAGCCTGGGTGGGTGACCTGCCCGGAGGCCACGTAGCGCCCGCTCGGGCTCACCGCAAGACAGCTGATTTTGTCGTTATGCCCATAGAGAAAGTCCGAGGAGAACGATTTGCCGATCTCGCGAATGACGATGCAGGCTCCAAGAGGGTGGATGATGTGGGTGCCGTCCGGGTGCGCAATCAGACCATTAGGAACTCGCCCACTGAAGCCGAGCGCGCAATCCAGCTCGAGCCTCGGGGTCCCCGCGTATTCGGTCATTGATAATGGGAACGAAAGAATCTGAAAATATGGAAATTAAGAAGTCCAGATGTGTAAGCTGAATCTTGCTCGATAAATGGGCTAGCAAATATTCTGGTTTGGGTGTTTCAGGAGGGTCAAGTAGAAGCAATGAAGGGAGGTCTAGGTTTGATGTCTGAGGGGAAAAAACTAGGAATAGTGGCACACCAAACACTGAGGAAAGAAATAGTAATGAGTAGTATGCGTGTGTAAAAGTGCACTTGGGAACTTCCCCTTTCCAAGCGAACAAACTAGACCAGAGGATAGGAAAGAGAAGGTATGCAGAAAGCGTTCAAAGAGAAGCACAGTACTCATATTGGCTGAAAATGAAGAATCGCAAATAAAAGAGAATATACCCCTTTAATTATCATGTTAAATCTGATACTTTCCCTTAAGAAGTTTCTATAATTTACCTTTACGCAAATTTAAGATATGAACCCTCACGACTTATGGATTTTAAAGTCATCTAGGGGGAGGCATGAACCAAAGGGGGGAAGAGTAGAGTCTAAAATCCCACGAGCTGCTACGAGGTGATATATTCATGCTTTTTATTATTATTAAGCTATCGGAGATCGCGTGTGATACGTGAAATTCACGGTTCTATATGATACTAAGTCACTATATGCCCTTGGGTCATCAAATTCTTCTTCCGACGACTTCCACACTGGTGGATCCGATGGTTATTATTCTACTTTTCCGGGTTCTTATGGCAAGGGGACGATACATTGTCCTTCTCTAACGCCTGCATGTCTTCCTCATCAAAATTCAAAGGCATCTGCGCAAAGGAAGCGGCAAGGGTGTTCGTCAGCGAGAACCCCTCCGTTACATCCTCAAAGTTCTCCTCCACGTACTGGCGCGAAGGCTCATCGATGGTTTGCAGGACCTGCATTTGGCAAAGCGATATAAGGTTCTCGAAGGTGTCCTCGACAAATTCATGAGAAAGATCGTGGTTGTAGGCAGTGAGTCTGGTCCCGTCAGGTTCGCCTTCCGGTTGGTGTGGACTCGTTGGGGGGGAGGATGTCGACACCGAGACGTGGGGGCGTTGAAACCGTGAAGACGACCCCGTTGCCGCACCCCCAGCGCTCCCGCCATGCGTTGAGGCATTGGTCGCATCCGTATCCTCCTCCCCCTTTCCCTGTGGCGACTCTGGTGGCTCCGGTGGTTCCTCTAACATTCGTGCCTCCCGCAGGGCGTTGCAGGCTTTGCAGATAAAAAACGTCTCCTCCATCGTCATCTCGCATGTTCGACAGAGAAACGCCTTTCCATTCTCCAACGCAACGCCGCAGTTATCGCAGTGGTCGTGCAGAGCGATAATCATCTCCGTCGCGTCCTCCGCGCGGGGCGCGAATTCCTCATAGGCCCTCCGACAAGCCGCACAACGACAAGTCGCCTCCGCCGTGAAGGAATTCACCGGCAGCAGCATGCCATGATAGGGGAAAACATCCGATGGCAGCTCGTTGATCGGCCGACTCTCGTTGCACGCGACGACAGGCTTAAGGCCCGTCGTCACCTTCGGGGGCAACCGACCTTCGTAGCAGTGCTTCGGGTTTCCCTGCATCAACCACGGGTATTCCTGCATGCAGTGCGCACAGACCATCCCCATGAAGACGTCGCTGTTCATCATCTCAATCCGAACATCATCGGGCATCGGCATGTACAGGTCCGGGTGGTCGACCTCGTCTTCGGGAACGCGTTCCGCGATGCTGCATAAACCCGCGCAGCCACAGCTGAACTTCACCCCTGGCGACGCGCCGTTGGTGGCGCCGTCGTCGTGATCGGGAATCACGAAACCCGGCTCGATCGCGTGGTCCTTATGGCAGCGCAGCCGGCAAGGGGTGCAGACGTAGGTATTGCAGGTGTTGCATTTAAACGCCAAGACGTTGCCTTGCAGGACGTCACCGTAGCAGGGCATGTAGCGGTACTGATCGGCAAACAACCTCGTGATGTGCGCGCTCCAAAAGCACGTCGTGCAGAGCATGCAGACCACCCCGCCGTAGTCCGAATCGTTCGGGTAATCCCGCTCACAGTAACACCACGTGGTGGGGCTGCGTGGGTAGCGATTCTTCCGATTCACCGGAAGGAGCGCGCTCACCGGCGGCTTGTTCGTCGCGCTATCCACGATAAACATGCAGCGCGAGGCCTCGGGAAGGGATACGGGGGCGGGGGCGCCCGGCTTCATGCCCTTCTCCGCGCCGACTGGAGGGGGCCCGCCGCGAGGACTTGGAGGCATCCCTATGGGGTGGTCCGGCGGCGGCGCCTCCTCGTTCGTCGCGGAGACCCCGGCCTCATGTGGTTCGACTTTGAGCGGCAAGGACGGCGCGTGGGAGGAGCCCGGGCTATTCGAACGGGAGCGCTTTCGCAACTGCGTGCGCTTCAGCAAATCCGCCGCGCTCACCACCCCGACCGTCGGCGGCGAGGGCATCGCGTCATTCGCCAGGTCCTCGCCGGTGGTCGGCCTCCAGCACTTTTTCGTGCAGCAATCGCAGCGCATAAAATGCCGCACCCCCCACTCCTCGACTTCGTGATTGCCGTGGCAGATCTCCGCGCAGGCCAAACAAACGGCGTGGGCGGCATCGGCCCTGCCCGTTTTGACACACGTCCGACAGACATACGCCGTCTGCCGGAGGTAGCCTTTACCATAACAACAGCGATACCACTGGCCATCGAACTCGAGGGTGGTAGAAACGAGCCTCGAGATCTCCGAGCTCGTTTTGCTATCCACCATCGCCGCCGTGCCCCGGCTGCCTAAAAGCATCGCGGTCACCCTGAAATGCTGTGCGACGCCACCGGTATGGGCTTCCGTCGCCCGGATAAACGAATTCGGGAGCAAGACCCGCAGCTCCATGGCATCATCCGCGTCGCGTCGAAATTCCTTCATAATCGGGGCATTAAAAAGGAGTCGTTGCTTCACATAGGGAACTAGGGTACGCTGCTCCAATATTTTCTTCAGCTCACCTATAGTGGAGCTGTTGGGAGCGAGAGGGAGGGAAACATCGATGTTTTCTCGTCCGTATCGGACAGTAATATCAAGGTACGCAACCGTTGGGTTTTCTTCCGTGGACATAGGCAGACTGAAGGACAGTAATATATGAGGCGACTCCGCTCATAAATATAAGCATATATATATATATATATATATATATATATATATATATATATA